GTTCAAACGAGCAGAAGAGCAGAGCTGCATCACTCAGCCCAGCACAAACAAGAGGTAACAGCAATGTACACGCTCAGCAAACCCACCTGGGCAGCACCAGTGCAGATGAGGACAAGCCTCTAGATCATACTTTATCCAGACAGCCCTTTTCCTCTGCAAAAGCAGGGAAATAACCACCTCACCTCACAGGAGAGGAAGAAGAAACCCAGGACAGGGGGAGAGCAGTTCGTCCAAGGCCAGAGGAAGGCTCAGCCACAGCCAAATCTACCTCCCAATGGGCTTTATCAGCTCCTACTCCCTCCAGCAACCCCTTGGCTTGCAGCAGCCTGCAGAATCCACCTCCTCTTAAGGAGTATTAGGGTCATCACAGACATTTCCACTCTGGATCCTTCCTGTAGTGAGCAGCTTCATTTTAACATAAGGCCAAAGTCAACCAGTGGGGTACCGACCACCCAGAGGAGCAATACTCACACACACGGGAGATCCCTCCTTCTGGAAAAGGAGAGGTACAACAAGCAGCAGGTACCTGGGCTGCCACCCCTGCAAAGGAGGTTTTGATGTTTTCTTTACCAGCCCAAATGCAGAAGCAAAAAGAATCAAACTGAAAGCAAAAGGGATGGGTTTTCCCCCATGGCTGCCTTCCTGATAGCAGGTCCCTGCATCCACTGATGTTTTGGCACTAAGTGAAGGGTTTGATTAGTGATGAGTCCAACTGGCAGCAAACCATAACTACAGGAAGCCCCGAGGGGCTCTGCAGAGGTAGCTCTTGAAGCAGCCTTCTAATGAAGTGCCCTTCAGTTGCAACCATCGACAATGAGAAGCTGGAATCACTTCCCACCCGGACACAGGCTCCCTGCTACCCCATCTGCAAGGCCATTGGATCAATGGGAAGAGCAAGACTGAACTGTTGCAAACGGGATGCAGACTCCCAAAGCCAGCTCTGCCCCAGCTCCCCAACCCTTATCCCATGAGCTTTAAGAGTCGCTCCTTCCCCAGCCTCCTGCCCTGGAAGGACAGGGAATACATACGGAAGCCTCCACCGAGCCCGTACTCGATCATCCCTCCGGAAGCGCTGTTTAAAGAAGCAATTCAGTCACCTGCAACACAACAAGTCTTCATTTTTATTGAGTTAGTAAGGTCTCAACTGATTCCGATTTAAGTGATCTATAAGAAACCCTCTTTTCTCACAGCAAGAGCAGGCCTGCCCCAGGAAAGCGCTGAACGCATCCAAGAAATCACATTGACAATGTACAAGAAGCATCACTCCCCGCAACGGTTCCGTTTCTCCAAGCACCCCAGGCCTTTTAGCACAAACCTTCAATCACCTCAAGCAATCCATCAGCTTTCTGGAGAACTCAAGCATGGCAGTGACAGTTTTTCCAATGGGATCATAAAACATTTAGGCAGAGTCTGGAAAAAGCAACACGGCTGGAATATAAGCAATACAGTTTTAATTCTGACCAGTCACCTACAAACCCCTCGTCTTTCCACTGTTCTGATGGCATTATTAAAGGTCACGTTTGTGACGTTGCTTTTGGGGGGGGGGGGAGAAGAAAGAAAAAACAAACCATGACACAAAGATACAGACATTATGATACAATAGTACAAATGATAAATTATTTATACAGTAAATAATGTCAATAGTCAGCACAAATTCATATAAAGCAGCCGGCTCCCGGGATTATGAAACCAGTTTGGTGACGATTTCAGTTGTAACAGGAAAGGAAGCAAAGTCTTGTGAGATTCTGCTGTGAAAAATAAACCATCTATTTCTCCACGAGTTTGTGCAATATTAATACATACAGTACATGTTAGAAACTGTAACAGCAAAAGGGAAGATGGAGAACAAGAGTTGTCTTAGCTACAGGACTTCCAAAAGACTGTAAACACCACAACCCACCACCACGGTTTTCCTTCCCTGTCCCCTCCATGGAGTTTAGTTTCTCTAGAGTATAAAACTGAATAAATAACTGAGCTTATTTGGGGGGTTAAAGTTATGCCAAGGGTTTGGTTTTTGGTTTGGTTTTTTTTTTTTCCTTTTCTTTTCTTTTTTATAAAATATTTCACACTTTTCTCTTTGGTCAATTTGACCAGTAAGGCTATTTTGGGATACTACCATTTGAAAAATCAAAAGCACTTTTAGTATATTTTGTAAGTGAGAAAAAGAAGGGGGGAAAAGGGAAATGCGTTTGGAGGAACACACCAGAGCAGATGGGATGGGATACGCACACGTCCTCCATGCAAGAAGAAGTGGGAGGGTGAGGAAGGAGGAAGAATTATTCTGGAGAACAGTTAAGATTTTCCATTCTGGACACAACTGAAGCATCATCACCTGGCCAGGACATCCCCTGCAGCACCCCACTGCTGCACATGGGCACAGCTCCTGCCCAAACAGATCTACCAAACCTCTGGGACTCAGCTCCCGTCTCAAGCCTCACACCAGGCTGGGTGTCCTTGTCACGGTCAATCCTTCACCTCGAGCTCTACAGCACCACGGTCCAGGCTAATGACTCTTCAGAGTGCCCTGGCATGGTTTATTGTGCGATATATGTCTCTCTCTATATATATCATGTAAAACTAATCTAGCTCTTATTGTAAATCAACCCTTTGCCATTCCCCAGTTTCATTAAGCTAGGGCTCCCTACCACACCAACAGCATGTTTGTACCCATTCCTAGCAACGGAGCACAACTCAGAACTGCAGATGACTTCATCCCTATAAATACTTCCTACCAACCCCACCTTGCCTCCAGAAACAGTTACCTCGTGCTCAACAAGAGGATGGGGTTGAAGAGACAAAGCCCCATCTAACTGTTGCAAACGCATTCAGGTGACAAAGTGACACCAAGTGACCTCAGTTCCACTGTGGATGAAATTAAACTGGGAAAATGATGATGGAGAAATCTTGCCACCGATCAGTCGGGAAAGCGCTTTTCCCTCCCATCCACAAGAATCACACCCTTCCTGGTCTACACTTTTTAATAACTTCAACACCACAGAAAAGTAAAGTATTTTTCCTTCTTCTGAAAGGCAACGTGAATGGTGCTTTGTTTTAAAGACGTACTGGGTGTGGACAGCAATTCTCTTTCCTCCCATAAAAAACCAAGAGCAGATGAATATTCTGAATCCTACTTGCAAATTCCATAGTACTCAAGAGGATAGAACAATCTGCTTAGAAACATCCACACATTTAGCATTCCATACGCTAACAGAGCTACACTGACCTACACAGCTAAAAATCTGTGATTGTACCCTAGATTTGATAGTCTTTCAGCCTCCCCTACCCACCACAAGGTTTAACTCAGTCCCTTCCACATGAGGCAGTGCCTCTTCCCTGTGCTGAACACACCCCCTGGACTGGCACAGCACCACACAGCATCATTACACCACGACACACAACCCTGGCAATTTCTTTCTGCTTCTTTGTTTGGTTTTGTGGGGTTTTCTGTTTGTTCCCCTCCTTCTAATTAGGGAAAAGGCCACCGAGATGCATCAGTTCATTCACAGAGATGCCCTCACGGCAGCAGCAAGCACCGGGACATCCCTTTCCGCACGCTCTACAGATGTTGCTGTTGCTCCTGACAGCAGAGCTCAAGCGTTGCCGTCTCTGGGAACACCAGGTTTCCACCAGGAACACTGGCTGAAACCTGAGCGTGGTTTAGTGCCAAGGAGTCCAGACATGCAAGTTAAAATGTATAGTTCAGCCTTTACAATTAATAGCTGTCAATGGAACTGGTTATCAATATGGAGCGCACCTTCCATCAGGAAATATTAGTCAATAAAATTAAGGAGCCGTGTCTGTACATTAGGAGTTTTTAACATCTCAAGAAGTATTACAAGAAGAAAAAGAGCCTCTCTCTTCTGATCTTCATAAAGGCTCGAGGTCCGGTTTGGAGATGGGAAAACGGGAACAAACCAAGGGGAAAAGGCGACTTTAGTGTTTTTTCTTTTTAATGTAGTCGGAAATCGTGTTACGCTCAAATTCAATTCATCTAAAAATAATTAGTCACGAGAATTTGTTTCGGTTTGCATTACGAATACTTCATTTAAAGTAAATATTTTAGTGTTAATCTTCCCTTTTAAACTCTCTTTACAGAAACAAAGAGCTAAAACCATAAATAAGAGGGCATTAACCATAAAAATGACATTTGCCAATATCTTAATTTTTCCGCCAGACTTGATAAATCTATCAAAACCAGACAGTTAAATAAGAACCACATTATAAAAATTAGCAAAAAAAGGACTATTAGGTAACTCTGCAAACTCAAAATATGAAACTGTACTAAACAAAATATGTGCAAAAGTATACAAGAGTAACTGCATATAGCAAGGTTAAGCCTGAATTAGTTTTAAAGCTTGCCCCGGTGAAATTGGATTCCAAGTTGTCCCACTGTATTTCTTTTAGGGTTGTTTGTTGTTTTTTTTCCTCTTTCAACTCACATTGTAAGTCAAATAAAAACAAAATACACATGATAAACTTCCAAACGAAGCTGGTACTGGACAAGCACAGAGCAGGACACTCACTCAGCACGAGTGCAGCATGCCACTCACAGAGAGTTCCTCAGGAGTCCTTAGAGAGTAGTGTACAAATTCAACACTGCATACGACAGCACACGTTATACTCGACAACTTGAGAAGGTTCTTGGGGGGTTTTGTCTGGATTTGCCTTGTGGGTTTTGTTTCCTTTTGAGACAAGCTTGCTTTCTCAGTCAAGCCTCTGAAACGAAAGCAGTGCCATTTTGCGTTGCAATGTTTAATGCATAAAAACCAGCCACCTGGGCCCTCCGAAATCGTTCTCTTCTAAGAGTAAGGACTATGGGTGAACCAACAGTCTAGAACTGTGTGTAGTTATGTGCAAAACATTCACTAGCACTCTGAATCTCAGGTCTATCATATGGGCATAGGAAGTGACAGATGCAGGTAAATAGTAATTTCAGGATCCAGCACATCATCTGACATCTACAAAATAGCCAACGGAGTTTTAAAATGGCAGGTTCTCCCTAGAAAGTGTATTGAAATGATTAACAAAGTAACAAAATGGGCAGAATCTAACTTTGGTGAAAAGTCTGAACATTTCACATAATGCTCAACAAGCCAAAGTAAGGTACCATCTGTAGCAAAGACTAGATTTAGATTAACTGGTAAGTAGAGACAACTCTTCAAAGATCATAACTGTAAACTGCAAATCTACTTCCAAGTCTCTTACACACCGTTCAGTCCACACAGGCCACGTTCATTTCGCTGTAAAGACTTCAGCCTGGAAACACTATGAAAAGAAAGTTCCTTTAATTGGGTCTTTATAGGAGAAAAGGGTTAGTTGTATTTGTAGACTGGGATGCTGACGGCGGGATTCCTGTACTGTGAAGAGGTTGGGTCATTGATCCTGCAATGCTCACGTTCAGCCCCTGGCCCATCCTCGTTAGAGATGCCACAGTGCCCATAGCTGGTATCGGTGCCATTCCCACAGGCACTGGGGCCATAGAAGACAGAGGTATTGGCTCCATGCTCATCGGTGGCACAGCACTGAAAGAAGGGCTGGTTCCCATCACGGGACTCGCTCTCATCTGATTTAGAGTGAGTGGCTGAGGCTGATTCACTTGGAAGGGGTTGATTGGAGTTGGTGCTGTAGCGGCACCTAGTTGTGAGAGAAGGAGGAAGAGGGAAAAAGATCACACCTCCATGAACACGAGGGTTTGGAGATGGGCTTTTCTGGGGAAGAACACACCACCTGTACTTCCCCACATGCTCCCAGCCCCAAAACACCCTGCAGAGAAACCAGCGAAGTGGGACTGGACTGGTGCATGACCACAGCCTGTTTCCTTCAACCTATTAATGTCACAAAACACCCCTTTGCTGACCAACAGTTTCCACTTCCGACAGTAGTCGCTGGAGAGAGAGGTTCTAAATTTGGTTACCTGGAACATGCCTAACCATGACATTATTAAGTGTGCCTTATGGAAGAGAACTGCAGGCTCGCTGTGCTCCATTACTGCAGTCTGCTAGTGCAGAGCTGTGCATTCGCCTCGCGATCCCATCCAGTCAGCTCCATTTCGGAGCTGTGCATGTTTCTGGCACTGAGTTTTGACAAGAATTCATAAAGTAAACAAGTTGTTTCCGAATTACAGCGGTGCTAGAAAAAGCAGAGAATAACTTTCCCAGCCTTTGAGGTCCTCTGGACTGCTGCCAACACTACAAATTCCTTTTACCGTACATGTGTAGCGTTATTTGGATGCCCCAGTGACCCCTTATAAACTTTTTGTAGTAACCGGTAATGGCAGATACACAGACTTCCTCTGGCTGAGCACTGCCAAGGCTGTTCAGAATTACTGGCGGGGGTTTCCTACTCAAGGAGTTTAATAAACTGTTGGGTTTTTCCATTGGAAGAGTGAAGAAAATAAATACTGCAATAGTGTTCTAAAGTATTTCATCATACAAGTGTCACACAGAAACTTCACTGCATGTGAATAGCTTTTAAAAAACATCTTCCGTGTGTTTAGTGTCACCAGTTAAGTCTGTTCTAACAAGGGCCAACAACAGGAGAACTACAAAGGCTATTATTTTCAGAGAGTGTTTTGATCAAAGGTTTGAGTGTTTTGGGGGTGCTGAGGTGCTGGCACAGGGTGAGCCCAGAGAAGCTGTGGCTGCCCCATCCCTGGCAGTGTCCAAGGCCAGGTTGGACACAGGGGCTTGGAGCAACCTGCTCTAGTGGAAGGTGTCCCTGCCCGGGGCAGGGGGGTGGACCTGTGTGAGCTTTAAGGTCCCTTCCAACCCAAACCATTCTGTGATAAAAACTCGTTTAAAAACAGCCTAAATAGCAACCCACTAAATTATACTGCAGAGTTTGCTATCTGGAACCTCAGGCTGCAGTCAGAGATGTTACTGTGCAAGTCGTAGAGCAAAGAAAAGAGCAATTCCTACCTGCTTCCACAAGAACCCACTACCTATGACTTTCCCCAAGGGATTCTTTGCTGGCTCACATTCACATCTTACCTGTTCTGACCATCAATCAGCATTAGCTCAGCCATTTTTAATAACCCAGAGCCTTCTTCTAACACAGATCATTTTGAGGGAGCAAGGGCAAAAGTGGAAAAGAAACTGCTCGAACCAAGCTCAGCCAGCATATCAGATGCAAGAGAAGAAACTGTGCTTTAAGGGTCCAGCAGTATGCCTTGAAACCATCCTGCCTCACCCTCCTGCTCTCAGTCATGATCTGCTGGCTGAACTAATCAAGAAAAACAAGCCCAAACCAGTTTAAATTACATCAAATAGGACTGAGCTATGCAGAGTTTTCCTATAGGAAGGGAAAGCTAAAACAGAAAACCAAAGGAATGTGCAGACACAGACCTGGTGCCAAGAATGGATTCAGTGAAGTAACAGGTTGTGGTGGCTTAGACACCAGTGAATCCAGGTTCACCAAAGCAGCATTGGGGCCCAAAAAAGACTCAGGGGTTTTTCGAGCTGCACTTTGCTTGCCTGATGTCATGCTTGAGTGCTGGGAATCAAAGAGATCAGGACTTGTGGTACCGCTATGCTGAGATGGCAAAGTGGAACTTGATTCAGCTGAAACAACACAAAGAGAAGAACAAAACTTACTAATCTACACAATCAAGCAAAGAAAACCCTGAAGTCTCACAGCAGAAATGCTTTTAAATCTAATGTTTGTGTTAGTCAGATTTAAATGTATCAGTACATGTTACACCCTTACAGCATGCAAGCAGGTAATGCTCTTTAGGAGAGTATGAAGAAGCTACAGTTAGAGTTGCAGTGCTCTACTGAAGGTGCTACCTGATTTGCCCTGATGAATATCCTCACAGCTATGCTGCAACAGGTGAGACTAACAGTCTCCAAGGAGAAGATATTCAAAAGCCGTGGCTTCTGCTCTTGCACTACACCACTGCTGCATCCTTCCTAGCTAGATACCACCCAGGTTGTCTCTTTTGTGTTAAAAAAAATCTTAGCCCAGCTTGGAATTAGTCACCATCCTTCCAGGCAGAACCATCCTGAAAGTACATTTCGATGTTAAGGTCTGGCAGTTTTTATTTTAGTGACTAATAACCAAATAAAGCATTCATAGAAGTGTATTTTCTCATCTTCCTACTATTGTTATACACTGGGATTTACACGTTTGAGAAACTCAGTCAACACTGTTCCGTTTGACTCTCTGAACCATACTCCAAACATGTTGGATGCTGTAAATTCAGAAGTCAAACAAGTTTCTGGGTCAATGCAGCAAAAGGTTACAGGGTGAATTCTATGGCTTACAATGCAAAAGGCCCATTCCCCTTAAGTTCATGCACAGGCCAAAATGTTAACAACAGGCTCTTACTGCTGCATTATCACCAGCTTTAATCCTTTCCTTTGTGAAAGTGTATTTTGTTTGAAGTAAGATTTAAGAGTAGAGACATTTGTTGCTGAGATTATGACCCAAACTGTCCACATGCTGAGAATTTGATTCATACCTGGCTTTTTGGAAGTTCGAAGTGTGTCAAATTCAGAAAAATCATCTTTAACTGTACCATTCAAATTACTGAAGAGGTCAAAAGATGTACTTCCTGTTCAAAACAAGACAGCCCTGTCATTAACAGATCTGCAGTTGCATCACACACCTGATCCTACTGAACACAATACGTAGCCCATTCGGGTACCAAGAAGCCACTCTGTCAGGTTCCAGGGCAGCAGTTCAGATCAGCTGGAGTGTTCCTATTCTTAACTCAGGACTAGGGAGAAGGATAATGTCAGAGAACTGTCCTTTCCTACAGTATTAGCCAACTAATTCAGAGCAGTGTGCTTCGAAATCTTAATGTAAGGCACACTTAGCATGCGGGGGTTTTACTGAGTGTCTGTGCTAGAGATGTATCCGCAGGTAAATATCACTGCAGAAGAGAACAGCAATGATTTTACAGCCTGAACTATAAAGTGTGTTAATCTGCCCTCAAGTAAACACACTTCTGAATATAGTTCCAAAGACAAACATTGCATTGCTACCACTTAAGCAATGATTTGACTTATGCTCCTGAAGTTAAAGGGAGGAGGAATGCAATAGGAAAGGTTATCTGTGCCATGTAGAGATGGAAAAGCCCTGTTAGCTAAAGCACCAGAACTTGCCCATAGTTTGCAATCAGTGAAAACATAACATTTTCCAAATGTGGACGCATCCTTACCTCAGCCTGGAGGAAGAAAACAGACACCTAATGAACAGCAATCACACTCCTGAAAAGCTTTACAGTTTGCTTTGGTTTTTAAATTTTTAGTAGTTGAAATGTTTTTTGAATTTACTTTTAACCTTCAACACATTTCAAGCACACAAAGGTATGGATTTAGCTCCATAAAGAACACAAAAAGACAAACGCCCAAGAGCATGATTGAGGACTGTGTACAACAACCATACTTCTCACCAAGAACAAAGACATAGTTGAAGAATCATTTTCATAATGATCCAGTTATTGCCCTTTGCCCAGTGAAGAGCTGATTAGACAACTTCTGCAGTCCTCGGATTCCTTTGTTTATTATGCACAGAGATGAATGACCAGCAGCAAATGCATTTAGGATGCATTTAGCCACGGTGCCAACATGAAAACACCAGGTATTAAGATTCATCAAGGTTGCATTAGTTACAGAGCATGAACAGACAATTACATCAGCACCTTCCGCATCTTGCTACACAAGGGCGCAGGGATAGCTTTCACACCCTCAGTGTGAATTAACAAACCTTCATCTGCACCTCTAAAAGTCTCCTCAGAACGTGGAGATGCTCAATCTGTCAACCTACATCTGCAGAGACATCCATCTCAGAGGCATTTATCATGATGAAAGGTAAAATTACAGTATCATTCATTTCCAGAAATTAAGTCCTTGTCTCATTAAAGATAAAACCCATTTCAAAACCCAATGGCAGCAGCAGCCACAAGTGCTCCGCATGCATCCACGGATACCAAGAGAAGAATGCAGAAGGGACAGAGCATGAAGCAGCAACACAGATTCAGAGCTCCAAGTCAGAATAATTACATTTGAAGTTCTTTATGCTGCCAGCTATTACAACTGCCATTTATTTTATAGACCAGTTCTGCAAACTGTTCAGCACATCACTTCTTTCAACCACCTAATGCAAGAAAATAACTCGGATTTCACCTCCATTACTCAAATAACATGGATATGGGATGAGACTGTTTCTCACCAGAAGTAGAAAGAGGTTTGTTTGCAGGTGCTGGTCCCCAAGGATCCACTGAAGATTTTGCTGCAGTAGACGATGGCTGAGCAGGAGCCCAAGGGTCAACATTTTTGGACAGAGTCTGAGCTGTGGATCCTGTTGGTGCTGCCCAAGGGTCAACGGAAGCAGCTGGTTTGGCACCTGCAAAAGAGCCAGCAGGAACACAAGTCAGTCCCATTTCACTTTGGAAAGCTTTCCTTGGAGACTAATCTCTCTTGTGAGCCATTCCTGCCAATTAATACTAAACACCAATAGGTGAAGCATCAGGAATACTGATAAGTCTCAGCATCACACACACTGAACAAGCAGCACAAGTAAACTCTGTGCAAGGCAGATGAATAAAACAACCTCCCATTGGAAACTGAAAACACAATAATTTGAAGTTCCAACAAGAATATAAACTTGCTTTTGCTGCATTGCCACCACAAGGAAAATATCTGACTGACAGTGAAGGAAATCAAAGTATATTTACAAACTCATGTGAAAGAAGGTTTCTAAAAGGCCTATTTATAAAAGGTATGACAGATACAACAGTAAGACTTGGACAAAGAACTCCGTAAGATTCAAAGGGAATAGTTCTCGAACTCTTTTAACCACACGGTTATTTCCTAAAATATAATCAGCTTCCCTGAGTTACTTGTGCTTTTTTATTCCCCTCTGTAAGTGCTCCTCCTGCCACAGATCTAAGCTGGCCACTGATATCCCTGACTGCATTTCTTTTAAACCTAATGCTGAGGATTCCCATTTTTCTTGGGAAATGCTGACAACTCTTCATTCCTAAAAATTCACATCACCAAACTGCTTCAGGTCGTGCTCAAGATCAGGGCTTCCTTGTGCAAAGTGGCAAATGAAGGCAGTAAAGGGGAAGGAAAGAGAACAAAACTTGTCTCTCTGTACACAGTTTCCTGCCAGTTTTATCTTCTTCCTCCCGCTACTAATTTATCACTTTTCAGCTCAGATGACCTCTTCTTCCTTCTACCATTAAATGAAACTATTTTGGCTTCTCAAACCCCAGGACTGCTGAAGTAAATCACATTTTAGGTCTATGTTGGAAGGTATCATTCTTGCTTTGGTCCTGTATCACCCATAGCTGCTGCCCCTCCTCAGCCATCAGAGTGGAGGAGTGGGAAGCCAGTACTGAAAATGCACAACTCGACAGTGATCAATTCCCTTCAAGTCAAATAGTACACACAAACACATTTCCTCTTCCCAGTGAAACCTCTCCACCAGTCAGTTTAATTACTAAATGAGAGCTGTATAATCCAAGAGCAGGCCAGAATTACCCCTGCAGTACACAGTTATTATCTTTAACCACCATGAGGGTTTCCGGTTCCAACTGAATATTGGTTTATCCTTTAAAACTACATAAAAACCCCTCTTCTTGGCATCAAAGATTCTTGTAAACCCATTCAACGCTACACACAGTGGCACAATTCCAATTTGCAACGTTGGTCTTTGTTTCATCAACAGGCAGCATTGTCTTGCTACAGCTTTGGATCAGGAAATGCTACAATTCTCCAAGTCAAGTCCAACTACTCCCACACCAGTACTTACATTTCCTTTACCTGCCCTTAGCACTGAGTTATGAGCAACACCACATAAGAAATGCCAATGACAGCACTTCCCATAAATGGAAGCTTTCAAGAATGTCTTTTCTTTCATAAAGAGAGTTCACAGAATTAAAGCACTTGGGAAGACACCTTCCCGTAGCTTTCATTAGCAATGAACTGCCAAAGCACAGGCAGGATTTGAGAAACACAGTTTAATGAGTCACTCTTTTATTAGCAAATCCATAAATCTTACATCTTCGAGACTATCCTTAGGAGCCAACTAACCAGCAAGCTGCAACAAGGGCTTGTTCTATGGCATTAATAAAGTTGGGAGCCACTGAGAGGGAATGCTACAGGAAGGAAAATCTTGTCAGAGGATGACAGAGTGAGCACAGCATTTGAAGAAGGTGGATTTTGGTTTTTAACCACAGAAAAACACACTGAACAAGCCTCAGGGCCCAAAACTTGGACTTTGTCTGATTTCATGTTTGCAGTTTATCACCAAAATAGAAACAGGCTACATTTAAAACAATGAACTGCTGTTGTCCCAGCAGCCACGTAGGTGCCTTTATTGCCACCATGAGGAGGGGAAGAAAAAGGAATGCATTTTATTATTAAGCTTCAAATTTTTCATCAGGAATCTGGAGGGTGGTGTGCTGAATGCTAATGCACTTGAAGTACTTTATAGTAGAGGTTGTAGAATCACCAGCCTGAAGCAAAAGTGACAGAACTAAGCTGTTAGTCTTCATGAAAAGCTTCCAACACCAACATAAAAATAGATCCAATTCCACAGATGTAGTAAGTTAAATACATCCTATGAGGAACTATCAACTTATTTATGCAAAGGAGTAATTCCTTGATCAGACTTTGGCTACCCCAGAAACCAGCACACTACACAGGCAGCAGAACACACACGCAAAAGCAGACACACAAAAAGAGTGGGCTTAATGGCTCTTTGAGGTGTGAAGCACCAGATCTTCCACTTCAGAAACCGACTCCATGAACTTTCTATCAAAAGCTTATGGAACAGGGAGTATTTAAAACAGTAACTTCTTTTTTTGTTTGTTTAGTATAAAAATCTCCATTTAAACTATTTGATCCATTGGTTCTGATGGCAGACACATGACATCTCACTAGGAGCGATTAAAGACACAGCAAGTCAGATCTAGGGCCTTCCCAATCACAGCACCCTGCCTAAGTGAGAAATACTGCCAAGAGCCTAAATCTGTGACAGTGGACACAACTAGCAAAGCATGAGCATCCCTCCAGTCTGAGACAAGTTGGTTTTGCTCTGGAAAGAACACAGAAGCTTCACTCTTCCTCTTTTTTGTTAAGAGTCAAACTGGATACACAAAACCCAGCTGCAAAAAAGCGCAACTTCCATTTGTTTCTGCTTGGAAATGAGTTTGGGCAACGTCAGTTCCAGAGGATGGGAAACAATCAAAAGGGACTAACACACTGTTGTTATCGAGCATGACACTGTACCTTGAGAAACTTCAAAAAGCTCAACATTAAAAAGCAAGAAACTCTCCACTAAGCATTCCTTCTGGCAGTTTATTCTTACCAAATGATTGCCATGGGTCAGAGGCAGTAGCTGCAACTGTGGATCCTCCCCAGGGATCAGTTTGGTTTGCAACAGCAGGAGGTCCCCAAGGCTCTGTTTTCTGTGGGGCCGGTGCCGACGAGGGCAGGGCATCCATTAGGTCCAACAAAGTGGTATGCTGAGGGCAGGAATAATCTGAGCTTTAATCAAGAGCATTACCAACCCCAAGTACAAACCCATGAGAGTGAAGAAGCAATTCCTTACTTTTTCCTTTTACACACCTGCATTGACTAGTAGTTTGAAATATAACCCACATGGAAGAAGCTTTAAGCTACACAACAAAGCAATCCCAAAAGCATAAAAGAGCTCAGTATTAAGCTATTTTTGTGTTACTGTATTTCAGCTTTTGGCAGCATAACCGGGAATTTCTTAGTCGAAGGCACTACCTCCTTCTTTTTGGGAATTTTAATTGTGTCTCTGCGACTCTCCTCCAGAGCCATCTGTAATCTCAGATCATCTCCGCGTCTGAGGCGCTCCTCCTGCAAAGGAAATCAACACTGTTGATATAGACCATTAGCCTAGACTGTGCTGCTTGCTCCCTCCAAGTGCCTGGCCCCCTTGGCAGGACTCTGCCAGGGAAGGCCTGGGCAGTATTCCCTGCCACCCTTGGAGCGACGCGCACCGCAGGCACGCACAGTGGGATCACTGGGAATTATTTGCTCTAACTTGGACGTAACAGAAATGGGGGAGTGGAATTTCTTGTGATTCCTGCCTCAAACAGAGATCAGGAGCACAATGACCCTATAACACCAGCGTAACAGTGTGATCACAACCATTTGGCAGACTGAAGTTTACCCTTGTATTGTTTTCCTCCTAATGGGAAAGCTATAAATGAAATGTTCTTCCCAGAATTCAGTTGCAGTGCTAGAAACGCTGCAGAACGTAAAGTAAATATCCCATCTCTAAAACACTGTGATGTGTCTGAGCATTCAGATCACCACTGAAGGACAAGGGGATTTACACTGTGATCTTCCTGGCTTTTGCCAGCTTCCCTCCACACCTGAAGCAACCGCTACGAAGAACATTAGGTGAATTCATCCAGCTATTTTGTAGGTTTAAACATCTGTAAACTACCATGTTTGGGGCACACTGAACTACTTTAAATATCTTGGTTTACATCACATCTTTCAGAAGCTGACTAATTCCTCAGTGGTATTTCCCTTGCGATTATGTTAAGCTATTTCTGATAAGGTTCTAATTTTTATTCTCTAACTTTATTGCTAAATAATGACAAAGTTTACTGGGTGATAGTTTCCTTTTCCAAGCACAAAGATATTAATGCTTAACATACAGCAGTAAACTAAAGTTGTCACAGGAAGACTAACACATCACAGATACTCAGCATAGCCAACTTGAATTTTCACTCATAGCTGAGATTCAACAACTTTGTTATACATATTAACATGCAGTAAACTTTATCCACAACTACAGCATTTACTCCAAACTTCAGAATGAACCTCCTAAGAATTAACACAGTAACATAACCCATGTTATGTTGCTGATACCTATATATCCTGATAGATCAGCAGCTAAGTTACTTTAAATCAGGTTCTTGATATACTTCTAGTACTTTGTGTCACCTTTCTGTTCTGGTCTTACCGAATGAACAGATTGTTCAAAATCTCATTGTAATCACAATTCACTGACATTCCTTATGCTGGCCCCATTAATGAAGGTTTTCAGGACTAGTCATGTTTTCAGCTCTTCCTAACTGAAAACATCTTCAGTAATGTGATGATTAACATCCTCCCACACAAAGTCTTCTTGCAAAGTGACTGTCATCTTCCACTAGTCTCAACAGCTCGGAGGCAGAAGTTACTTTAAAAAGAGATTTAAAAAGAACACAAAAGAGTAACATCTTCCAAAATGGCCTTTTTCTCTCCCCCTATTCCACCTGGAGCAAAGCCAAGCTGTCATTGAGAAAAACAGCATTGTAGCTCAACTAGAAAAGCACAGACACTTTGGAAACCTACACGGGCACTGACCTGCTCCGCCACTTCCCGGCTCATGGCCAGCGCGAGCTGCAGTTGGAGCTCCTCTTCTCCACTTGTCTGAGGCCGGGCCTGCTCAAGCTCTGAGGAAACTCGAGGGGATGTAGCTGTTGGGAGACAAAACCCAGTGAATTTAACACACCAAACACCACAAAGATACAACAGGTTGGATTATTTCTCTGAGCAGAGCACCCCACTCCCACACAGCCTTCTAAGTGGTCGCCAGCACCATCAGCTCCCATCAGAGATAAAGCTCTAAGGGGGAGGTTAACAAACCAGAACAATTTATAAGGGAAAACTTTCCAAGATGGTTCAATAGCTTAAAGGAAAAATATCCCTGGAAAACAAAGGCTTTTTGTGTTAGTGGGGCTGTGATATCAAGAAGTATCACCAATGAATGCTGATACCCTGCCCCAGAGTTATCAGAGCTTCAAGAGGCAACACACAGACTTAAACTATAGAATTCATCATTCAAGAAAACATTTTTTGGTGTTTCTTCCATCTTCCAACATCAGTAAGGATTCGCTGGGAGTTGGCCAACAGCAGGGTAAAACTGGATACCACCCACTTTTCTGTAAAATAATACAGTCTTAATGGGACAGATAAAGAACTATTCTTAACTGCTAAGCAGGCCCTGAGACAAACAAGCCAGCTATTCAGCCTCCAAATTCACAAGAATACGATATCATTCTCGGATAAGAAAGTAAACTTTGGTGTATAGGCTGGGGGGTGGTTTGGTTTTTGTTTTCAGTTGGTCTTTCTTTGGATGAAGATCTCTATGAGCTTAGAATTAGCTGGTAATCCCCTCCACTCCTCAAATAACAGTCAAGCGTGACAGCTAAAATACACCATTTCTCGATATACAAATCTCTTCCTGATGATATCACCACAGGAGCATGCAGCAATTCCCATCCCAATGGGACAACACAAGTAGGTTTATCATTACACAGTAATTAAACATTTCTTTGTGTTCTCTCAGGTAATTCTCTAGCATCCCAATCATTCACACAGAAATCTTCTCTTACTTCAGCGTGGAAGGTTGTATTTAATGGTTGGAATAATCATTAGTTTGACAAAATGTATATTGCCTTTTAAGAAAAAGGAACCATATTTTTAAAGCAGGATGTCAAGCTCAAAGAAATAAAGTTCCTTGTTAACAGGTCAGCTATGGGGCATGTAAAAACTAGACTGCCAAACAACTAACCATAAAACCAGTTTTTCAGACACTATTTTAACTGCAGTCTTGCCTCCCCTCAGTTTTAGGCCAAAATGACATTATCAAACAAAAAGTGCCACCTTCTCTCTCATCCAGCAGGCCAGAAGGAAGGTGACACTCCATAAATGACGACTGACCTTTCCTTTCCATCATACACCCAATGTGCCATTCCATCCCACCCCACTTCTAAAGGGACAAATCCATTTATCACTCAGGACAATTCTTCCACATCTTGCTGATCCTGAAGCTCCAACCAGACAAGCTCCTTATTTCACCTAAAGATATTACTCATACCTCTATTCTATTACTTTTGCAAACTTTCTTATATAAAGTATCTAAATTTAGCCTGCTTAATGAGTACTTTTTGCTCTAGTGGTCAGACAGGCTCTCTAATATATTATATAGACTGTTATAAACTTAAAATAGGAATAAACAGGGCATCAGATAACAGGACAGCCGACAGCATGGAAAATATAACCTTCAAATGTCTGAAAAATCTGAATATTCTTGAATATGAGAATAAAGAGAATTAAAAAGAAAACACAAGGTTACCAAAAGGTAACCCATGACAGATACACTGATTTCCTTCTCTGATTCATCAGTCAAAAGGAAAAGTGTGGACACAGCAAAGCGTTTTCTGATGCTGAACTGGATGTTACTGTTAAGCAGAGGGTAGTCTAAGAACTGAAATAGGTAAAGAACCAGCTGAAGAAGAGATTTAGTCATACTTCCCACCAACAAGGAAGCTTACTAACAGTTTCTCAAGAACTGGCTTGAAGACCAGCCTTCAGAAAAATTACCTAATAAAGAAAAGCAGAAGGTTCTAAGAGAGAAAGGAAACTCATTTCTTTGATGCTCACCGTCTGCTAACTGGGGACAAAAACTGCAAGTGACAGAGATGGAGAGAACTTACTTTAGTACTAACACACACAATAACTCCCAGCCACTAACCCCATACAGCTATTACTAACATGAGCACTACTGCACCAAAGCAGTAGTCATAATTCATTTGACATACCAGAAATCAAGCCCAAGACAGATGACTTCAAAACAGAAATGATGGGGAAACACTTCCCTTCTGAGCATATTTTATGTGTTTATCTTTGCAAAAAGAAGATTGAGCACTTTAAGGTTGTTAAATAACACTAGGGAGGGAGAAGGAGGCAAGAACTAATGGTATAAACTGACCATGAATAAATTTGAGATGCAAATAGAAAGAAGCTGCTTTCCAGCAGGAGTTATAGAAGAAAAGTCATAACTGGTTTAAACCACAAGCTGGATAAGCATACAAATGGGACACCACCACAGTCACCTGAGAAGAGATGGCAACTGGACTGTGCACCTTCTGCTCTCCTCTGTCCTGAGCTGCATTTGTGGGAAGAATGTGATTTCCTGCCCCTTTTGTATAGGAGTTTGCCATCTCTGTTGACATAACTATATTCTGTAACAACAAAGAAGCTGATAGCTTCAAAATTATGTGAAATAGGTTAATTCTGACGATTTTCCTCCCATTTCCACACAAAGGACTACTTAAAGTGCTCACCAGTTTTTAATGGCACACTGCATTTTTGCACTAAAAAGCTGTGAGAAGAGGGGGCTGCATCCTACTCCAAGCCTCTACTCGCCCTCCCACAGTGGATCCTCGCCTCCAGCCGTGCATGGGAAGGGCTGGCTTGCTTTGGCAGAGAGCTACATTACCTCACAGCTCCCAACAGAGACCAGCATTCAGGATCTGAACACAGATAATAAGGGGTCTCACAGATACAGCTTATTTCTTCTCACTTCTAGGCTTTTCAGCAATTCATTCTCCTTGGCTTTATTAACTCTAGAAGGCACTTCAGAGCTTGAAATTCTTCATGGGCCTCACATTAAATAACACTGACAGATTAATCAGATGTGGGTTAATCAGGGCTGAAGGACCTCCCCTATGGAGACAGCATGAGAGAGCTGGGCTTGTTCAGCCTGGAAAAGAGAAGGCTCCAAGAAGACCTTAAAGCACCTTCCAGTGCCTAAAGTGGCTACAAGAAACCTGGAGAGGGGCTTTAGACAAGGCTTTAGAACAAGGGGGAATGGCTTTAACCTGACGGAAGGGAGACTTACATTACGTATTAGAAGTCTTCCCTGTGAGGGTGCTGAGGTGCTGGCACAGGGTGCCCAGAGAAGCTGTGGCTGCCCCATCCCTGGCAGTGTTCAAGGCCAGGTTGGACACAGGGGCTTGGAGCAACCTGCTCTAGTGGAAGGTGTCCCTGCCTGTGGCAGGGGATTGGAGCTGGAGGAGCTTTACGGTCCCTTCCAACCCAAACCATTCTATGATTAAAATGTTGTTGGTTTACATTTAAAATTCTGCAGTGGTTATAAAACCATCTACATTAAATAGCTGCCAGCACATTTTCTACAAAGGATTAAGGGAAATTCAAAACACTCTTCTTGGGAGTAACCTGGTTTATCCAGCAACTTCACTCCTGAATTCCTGCAGTATTATAACTGTCTTTCTATGCTGGCCTCATCCTGCGTTAACGTTTTAATTGCAAGGATAAGGCAATAAAGGTTATTGCCGTAGTAACAGTATTGCTGCTGCACAAAGAATCTCTTATCCCCCAGCACATGACAGTTAACTCAGATGTTTATGTAAGATGGGCCTCAATAGATCAATTCTGACCTGCTAAGCCCTGCTTTGTTGCTGCTTGGAGAATCTGGAGATCTTGTTTCCCTCAAGGCTGCACAGAAGCAACTGAGTGGCGATCTGCTTGTGCAGGGAGCCACAGCACTGGGCTGCCGGCTCGAGACACTGGCTGCAGCACAAGGAAATGATTTCCAACCTCAGTTAATCACTAAAGCAGGATTCTGCTCCACCATCTGTCTCTAGTACAGGCTATGATGTCTTTCAGACATACCTACTGGTAATTTACTGTATTTTTGACTATATTAAAAGCCCTCTGTAGATGTCTATAGGTTTGGTTAAGTTAGTGACTTGAAGCGTATATACAGTTCACAGCTAGAAAGCAGAGTTGTTGCCTATCTTAATAGTAAAGATCAGTCCCAGCATAAAAATCAGACTGGGTAGTTTAGAATCAAAGAATGGTTTGGGTTGGAAGAGACCTTAAAGAGCTCATCTAGTTCCATACCCCCTGCCACACGCAGGGATACCTTTCATTAGACCAGCTTCCTCCAAGCCCCGTCCAACCTGGACACTTGTGATTCTCATTCACAAGTGTGTGTTTGGGTTTTTGGGTTGGGGTTTTGGTGGGTTTTGTCTGTTGGGATTTTAGTGTCACTCCAGACCAGGTGATGGCACAGAGTGACACGCAAAATAAGCTTTATCATTTGCATTTCTTTAGAAGAGCATTCAGTTCTTAGTCACATTTCTTCACATACAAAACCTACTTCCTCACTCAATGGATACGCCTACAGAGGTAGACAAAACCAAAGCTGACTTGAAAAATTAGAATAATAGCAAGGAAGAACTTACAAACTGATAGCAATTCATTTGGGAACCAAGTGGAGACCCCATTTATTTGTCTTCAACTGAAAGACTATTCAAATAAAGATGGGATACTTTCAAAAAGCCAATCTAACCTGTCAGATTATAAAAGGGCACATGCAAACTGCTTAATCTAGAGGGAATTGTGTACTGCACCCTTCCACTGGGAATCAAAGAGACCTTTCAAACACAAGAAGAGAACTAATAGCACCTCTTAATGTGACAAGGTGGAGCGTATCAGCTTCACTGCATGATTCCTAATTGCACTGAAGCAGACAGAGCAATTCTGAAACTCATTTAACGCTGAACAAATCCTTCAGCTTTGGTTCAAGAGCACTTTTTCTCCCAGGTGATCCCTGTGCTCTTCTTAATAGTCAGATAATCCACTGCAACTACAGAAGCCTGGTTAC